AGAGTGAAATAACAGATGCAGAGTATTTCTGAGTTGTGTTTTATTGATTATGCTATTAGAGATGTCCTGATTTTTCCTTCTTTACCCCTACCTCCACCTAGTAACCCCATTCCCTCAGGCAGTCCTCCAACCATTGTTCATGCCCGTGGGTCATCCATGTAAGGTCCATTTCCTATACTGTACTTTATATCCCCATGGTTGTTCTGTTACTACCTATTTGTACTTCTTAACCCCTTCGCCCATTCACCCATTCCCCTTCCCATCTGGTAACAGTCAAAATGCTCTCTATATCCACGATCATTCTCTGTTTCTCTAGTTTGCTTAGTTAGTTTTTTAGATCCAATTGTTCATAGATTTGTATTTTTGCCATTTTCTGTTCACAGTCTGGATCTTCTTTTTCTTAAATAGGTCCTTTTAAAATTTCATATAATAATGGTTTAGTGATGATGAACGTTTTTAGTTTTTTCTTGTAAAGGAAGCTCTTTATCTGCCCTTCGATTATAAATGATAGCTTTGCTGGATACAGCAATCTTGGCTCTAGATCCCTGCCATTCATGACTTAGAATATTTCCTGCCAATCCCTTCCATACTGCAAAGTTTCTCTTGAGAAATCAGTTGGCAGTTTTATGGGAACTCCCCTGTAGTTAACTGACTTCTTTTCTCTTGCTGCTTTTAAGGTTCTTTCTTTATCTTTAACCTTTGGCATTTTAATTATAATGTGCCTTGGTGTGTTCCTCTTTGGGTCCAACTTGTTTGTGATTCTCTGTTCTTTTAGTACCTTCATGTCTATTTCTTTTTAACAAATTAGGGAAGTTTTCTTTCATAATTTTTTCAACTAGATTTCCAATTTCTTGTTCTTTCTCTTCTCCATCTGGCAACCCTATGATGCAAATGATAGAACCCTTGAAATTGTCCCAGAGGCTGCTTACATCATCCTTGATTTTTGGATTATTTTTGTTGTTGTTCTGATTGGTTGCTTCCTTACATTCCAAATCATTGATTTGATTCTTGGTTTTATCCACTCTACTGTTATTTCCTTTTAAATTGTACTTAATTCAATTAGTGTATCCTTCATTTCTTACAGGATCTTTTTTTATGATGCTGAAGTCCTCACTAAGTTCCTTGAGCATCCTTATAACCAGTGTTTTGAACTCTGCATTTGCTAGATTGATTCTCTCCATTTCATTTAGCTCTTTTTCTGGAGTTTTGATCTGTTTTCTCATTTGGATCTTTTTTTTAGGGGGGGTCCCCTCATTTTGTTAGCCTCTCTGTGTTAATTTCTATGTATTAGGTAGAGCTGCTATGACTGACTCCTTGTCTTGATAACATGTCCTAATGTAGTAGATGTCCTGAAGGGTCCAGTGGCATAGCCTCCCCTATCACCCAAGGTGCGTACTAGAGGTGCAGCCTCTGTGTGGGCTGACTACACCCTTCTCTTATAGTTGAGCCTTGGTTGCTATTGGCAGGTCAATAAGAGGGATTTACCCAGGCCAGTCAGCTGCAAGGACTGTCTGTGACCGCTGACCACCAACCTTCACACTCCGTGGAGGATCAGCCGTATAGGGTCAGGGTGGCAGTGCTTCAGTGTGGTTTGTAGCTGTCCAGAGAGTGCATAAGACTTGGGGTTTCCCAGGTGGTGCAGGCCAAAATCAGCCCCACCTGTGTTTTTCCTGGGGGCAACCTGCCTGAGCTACAAAACAATCTGAGATGATTGCTACTTGTGCTGGGCTTGGAGATTACCAGGCAAAGCCAATCTGTGAATATAGGTTGGCTGCTGCTAGTGCCAAGCCTGGGGCCACTTACCAAGAGGTATGGGTGTGGGGGCTCAGTGAGGCCAGCTGTTGTTTGTTTGAGAGGATTTAGGAAGTTGTGAAGAATGAGCTAAGAATAGCCATTCATATGAAAAAGCCACTGTTAACAGCTGTAAGTTGAGTGGTACAGATTCCTAGGGATCTCCAGGGTGGGGCAGATAGTTTTAGTCAGGTTAATGGAGTCTCATATTTGGCACCTACCAGCTGGCTCTGTGGCTCTGTGGCTCTGTGGGGGCAGGCTTCAGAAAAGGACAGTGGCCTCTTCCCGCCTTTCTTCCTAGGAGAAAGCTATCCCCATCTCTTGTCTTGATTCCAGACTCTTTTGTTCCTCCGTTTAAGCCTTTGGTACCTTTCAAGCTGCTACACTAGTGCTGGAGCTTAGAGGGCTTGTGTCTAAATAAGTCCATGTGGGGGTTCTTTAAGGGGAGCTGCTTGGGACTTCAGTATTTTCTTTCACCAACTCAATCCCCGCTGGTTTTTGCAGCCAGAAGATTCCTGGCGCTGGAACTCTGGGCTGGCGGCCCTGGTGTGGGGCTGGGACTCCTTACTCCTGAGATATCCCTCCCAAATTTTTTCTACCACACGTGGATGTGGATGTGGGACCAGTCCATTTCGCATCTCCATCCTTCCTACCAGCCTGGATCAATATGTTTTCTTTAATTCCATAGTTGTCAGACTTCCATTCAACTTGATTTTTGACAGCTCTGGGTAATGGTTGTTCTATAATTTTGTTGTCATTTTGATGTAGTTGTGCAAGGAGTTGAGCTGTGTTTATCTGTGCTGCCATCGTTTGTCCTCTGCATTTTTATATAAACAAGATTGTGAATTATCACTAACCAAAACAAACTGATAACATTTTGATTGGGATTGCATCAAATGTAGAAATCACTTTGGGGAAAATTCACATCATTATAATAAAGATTATTCTATGAACATCCATTTACTTATCTCTCTCCATTTATTTAAATCTTCTTTAATTTCTTCCAATAAACATACAGTTTTCAGAGATCTCTTTTTTTAATATTTTATTTGTTTTTTAGAGACAGGTGAAGGTGGGAGAGGAACTTCAATGAGCCAGAGACACAGCGATTGATTGGTTGCTTCTTGCACACCCCCAGTGGGGACCTGGCCTAGAACCTAGGCATGTGCCGTGATTGGGAATTGAACTGGCGACCTTTTTGTTCACAGCCTGGGGCTCAATCCACCAAGCCACACCAGCCAGAGCGTCAGAGGTCTTTTACAGATCTTTTACTCAGTTCAGACTGTAAGGGAAAAAAAAAAAGAAAAACCCAAAAACACCAACTGAGTGGCTTAGAAACAACAAAAATTTATTTGTCACAGTTATGTGTTTGGAAGTCTGAGATCAGGGTGCCAGCATAGTTGAGTGAGGACTCTCTTCTCTTTGTCTTCACATGGTTGAAGCTCTGCTAAGAAGCTGGCTTAGAAGCTCTATGGGGTCTCTTCGTATAATAACACTAATCCCACCCTGGCTGGTGTGGCTAAGTGGATTGAATGCTGGTTCAACTCCCAGTCAGGGCACATGTCTGGGTCACAGGCCAGGTCACCGGTGGAGCGGGGGTGGGGGGGTGCACATGAGAGGCAATCACACATTGGTGTGTTTCCTTGTCCTTCTCCCTCCCTTCTCCTCTGTCTAAAAATAAGTAAATAACATCTTTAAAAAAACACACACACTAATCCCACTCTTGTAAGAAATCCACCTGTGACATAATCACCTCCCAAAGACCCCACCTTGTAATGTTTACAATCACATTGGAATTTAGGACTTAAGGTGTGAGGTTTGAGTAGACATGAATATCCATGTCATAGTAACACTTAAGCAATTTATTGAACTTAGATCTGAATTTAGATACTCATTTGCTTAATTTTCTATTGTTCTCTGAAGGAAATTTGAAAAAATTCTGGCAAAAGCACAAATACGATGGATGAATAAATAGCATTTTCCATACAAAGAATGGATCAATACACTTTGCTGTAGTCCTGACAACTTGAAAATTATCTTTTATAATTTTGTTTGGTACAATATTTGTCATTCTGTATTTAAGCTTTTTTTTTTAAAGCAAATATATTCTTATTTGCCTATAAAGGACATATAAATATAGAAAAAAATTTTAATAGAAATAATTGTGTTTAGGGGAAAGGTCCTAAAACCAACTCTACTCAAGGTATGTCATGGTCGCAACGGTTGTTAACCATCTAGAGTGACAGAAGATAGTGATATTGGGTAACTTAACACCTTAAGAATTTTCGCCTCAAGTTTAGATAATATTTTAGCAAAAAAAAGTGGAATGTTATGCTATTGTTTGCTCCATTTTGGTCACAGGGCTGGACAGTTTTATCCGTTATCTATTACATACTGATTAATGCGGTCAGTCTCCCGTGTAAATTTGTAATACATGGAGGGAGTTTTAAACAGAGGTGGATGATTTCATGTTGTGCCAACATTCTTGTGTGATTTTTTTTTATAACACTAGGACCACTGAGCAGTATTTTAAATACTTTTGTAGTCTTTTCAGCACCCTATGAATATGATATAACGAATGTTAAATGGATAAATACTCAAAATGGATTGTTTTGTTTTACGTTCACCATGTCAGCTGGTCACTTTAATCTTATGATGAAATGGGTATGGTAACTCCTAGTGATGGTGTGGAAAGGAGATTGGAAACATTCCTTTAAATAATAATTATTCTATTTAGGAAACCATTCACTCAAGGAGAAGGTCCATAACTTTCCTCAAATGTTAAAATTTGATTGTTCAGGTTTATTTTTAATGTTGGAAACCCTTGGTTATTTTCATCTAGCTAGATTTGTCCTGTTGGGACATTTGTGTAAAAGCAGTTAGGCTCTTTTCCACAGGATCCTCAGTTACCTCTTTTAGAAAACTGTTTCAGCAGTGAAATAAACACAGGCTGTTTTGGCCTGCTTTTACAAATAATAACCACATACCACAGATTTCTGTTCTGCCTGTTGTTTGTTAGTCAAGTAACCTGGGAAACTGCGGTGAGTTCTGAAGAGGAAACTAACGAAAGGTCCTATAGGCTTCAACCCTTTGGGATGTTGTAATTTTAAAAGATAAAATGCAGTATCACAGAGCTCTAAAAGCAATACACATTGTATTTGACTTTAGGTTTCCTGTTTTCCATAAACGAATGCATTCTGCTTCTGCAGGTTTTAAGAAGGAGCAGCGATGAAGAGAAAGTTCTCTGTTTGGTTCGGCAGCGGACAGGCCACCACTGTCCCACAGCCGTGATGGTGGTGCTCATCATGGTATGGGATGGCATTCCTCTTCCCATGGCAGACAGATTGTATACGGAGCTTACCGAAAACCTAAAGTCATACAATGGTCATCCCACAGACCGAAGATGCACTCTCAATGAAAAGTAATCATATCTGTTTTGTACTGTTTTAACACTCAGACCTCTATTTATAATGTTGAATTGTTAATTAAGTACAAGATTTTAAATACTGTGCAACTAAGAAGAGTGACCATTTCTTTTAAGAGACATGATTTCATTGTGAGTTAAGACCATTTTAGGATCTTTACCATTAGAATGTTCTTTTACTGCTTCTTTCTTTGATATCTTATCCCACTCACCCCAAGAATCCGGAGGAGAGCATTTTTTCCATAAAGAAAAAGCCTCCACCGCGAGTGGTACCACTCTGCGTTTCCTCTAGGCATGTCAGAGGGTATCTGTTTTCCTATGGTTTTGCCAATGAATATGTTGTCAAACTTGAGTTTTTACCCATTTAATAGGTGATAAATTACATCAGTTTATATTTGATTTTGCATTTTTCATATTATGAGTGAAAAAATTTTTTCATATTGTTAAGAGCTATTTGCCCTTTTTTGTTTGTTTTTTTCATCAACCATCTGATAATTATTCCAGCCCATATTTCTAAAGGATTGTCCACTTTACAGAAATCTACTTTTATATATTGGGGCTGTAAACTCTTTGCGATATAAATAGTGAATGGTTTTAACAGTTTACCACTTGTCTTTTTTAATTTTGTAGTGTCATATTTTGCTAAAGCTTTCTTTTTTTTAAACCTATCTTTAACTGTACTTGGGTCTCAATATTGAACGGTGTTCAAGGACCTTTTTTATCTCTGAACTTATAGAGTAATTCGCCCATGTTTTCTTTTAAAACATTGAAATCATATATATTTTAAAGCACAAATCTCTCATGCATTTAAAATTTATGCTATGTGATGGTAGGAAGAGGAGATTAATTTCTATCTTTTTTTTTCCATTTATCCCAACACTACTTTCTAAAAGTACTACTTTTCTTCTTGATTTCAAATGCTACTTAACTGTATTTGAATACTGTATCTTTGTCCTGCCTTTTCAGATACTGAGTGCCACATTTCTTAAATTATAGAGGCTTCATAATATATTTTAATATTTGATAGCGCCTCACCATTTTTACTCCTTTTCAAGGCTTTCTTTCTTAATTCTCTTTTTCTTCATGCTTCCAAATAAACTTCATAATAAATTGTATTATAGTTTTAAGATAAATCTAATGATATTTCTCATGGGATTGCATTAAATTATAAATGGACATCTTTATGATATTAAGTTTACTTGTGTGTCCTTCAAGAGTAGTTTATGTAGTTTTCCTCAAATAGGGCTCTTTTTTTAAAAAAAAAGAAATGTCATTATAGAAGCTATAAAAAATATAATGTCATTTCTTCTAATCCTCATGTAAGATTTGTACATGTACCAAAACATTCATTTATACTTAAATATATTTATTTAATTATTTTTTTTACCTTTTCAATGGCAACAACTATGTGTGCATTTTTTTTTATTGATTTTAGAGAGAGAGGAAGAGAGAGGGAAACATTGATTTTTGTTCCCCTAATTTATGCATTCATTGGTTGATTCTTGTATGTGCCCCGACCAGGGTTAGAACCCCCATCTTGGCTATCTGAAAGACACTCTGACTAACTGAGCTATCCAGTCAGGACCTGTGTACATCTTTGTTTTTTGTTTGTTTTTTTTTTCAATATTAGGAAAACATCAATGTGATTTTTTGTTTTAAATCCTCACATGAGGATATATTTAGTGATGGACAAGGGGAAATGGAGAGGTGGAGCAAGAAATGTCAATTTGTTGCCTTCTATATGTACCTCCACCAGGGATCTTTTGGTGTAAGGGACAATGTTCCAGTCGGCTGAGCCACCTGAACAGGGCATTAATGTCTAATTATTTTGTTATGTTGGGTACAAAGTAAAAATAACTTCTTATATGAAGACACTGCTATAAAGGATAAACATATATTGTCTTACTTAATATTTTCAAGAATTCAGTAATTCTGTTTTACCCAATGTAGATCTAGCATTTTTTATAGAAAATATCCAAGAATGCCTTAGGGATCACTTATATAGCCCTTATGTAATTGTTAAGAGTTTATGTGTGTCTTCATACACATAGGCACACATAAACACAAATTAATATATTATTTTTATTAATACTTTTTAAGATTTTTTTTGAGCTAGTTGCATACTTTATGCATTTTTCCTCTAAATAATACATCAGAGGGTATTTCCTAAGATGTTCTCTTATATAACCTCAGGATAATGATCAAAATCAGAAAATTTAACTTTGATTTTTTAAATTAGATAAACTTATCTAATTTATAGTTCATAGTCAAATATTACCTGTTTCCCAATATTATTTTTTATAGTAATTTTCCCTCACTCTACAGTGGATGGAATAAATTGTTTTGTGTTTTAGTCTCCTAATCCTTTAATCTCAGTTCTTCGTCTTTCACAGCATTGACAGTTTTAAAGGGAAAAAATAATTTATTTTGTAGATTGTTGCTCAATTTTGGTTTGCCTGATTGTTTTGCCTGATTTGATTCAGTTCAGGAATTATTGGCAAGAAAAGTATACTGGATCCATAATATTAGGGCATATAAGTCAATTTTTCCCATTTCAGTGTTGTCGACTGTTTCAGATATTTTGTACAAGCCCTTTTAGAACTTGCAGTCTTTCAAGTTCCTGTGTGTTTAACTTTTAAATAACTGTCAATAGTTTAAATGTATTTTTCTCTGCTTCCCATGTATTATTTCCATGATGTTTTAAATAAATAAGTTTTCTGTTTGGCAACTTTAATTTCCTCTGCAATTTCAAATTAATTCCTTTTATCCCATTTGCATCCCATTTTTTTCCCTTATCAAGTCATTGCAATATCTTGCCCCTTTAAAACATACTTCATCCTTGTAAGAAGATTTAGAGGAGGTGAGAATATTTGAACCATTCCTCCTCTTTTATTTTTCTTCATAGACTCTTGAATGATCCTTTTAGTATGCTTTCTTTTTATATTCAGTGTTATATTGGGCTTTTTCATGATGTTCACAATTTAAAAATACTAACAGTTTTGATTGAAATTTTTATAGTTTTTCATATATTTTTAAAATGTATTTTTTTTTATTGAGGTAACTTTGGCTAATAACATAAATTTCAAGTGTACAACATTATAATTTGATTATCTGCATACTCTGTGGAGTACTCACTTTCAGATGTCTAGTTTCCATGTTGTTTGTACTCTTAAGGCATTGCATAAGTGCTACGTATATACTATTGCAAGTTTCAAGCATTATGCAAATAGGAACCACTGAGTGTATATTACTTGGTTTCATATCTTTGTATGTGTATTCCAATCATTGTCATCCTTACTGTAGAATTTATTTTAAGGCTTCAGAAATGCTCCACAGTGATAAAATTACCAAGTTACCAAATGAAACAGGCTTTCTGTTTTTTCTGTTGTGACATTCATAAAGGCTTTCCTTAAGATTGATGAAGTGATCTCACATACAATATATACTATCCTTTTCCGCCTCAGAGGATTGCATCAATGTCATTTTATAGAAGGAGGAGCTAAATAAAGCCTAAATAGATCATGAGATGCTGTAGTTTTTATTTCTGATAGGGAGGAGATCTAGGATATAAAATCCAAGCCCTCTCTGTTCCCTCCTGAGACCATCTTCAAATCAAACAAGGTTATGAGTATTTCTGATCTCTACCTTTTAATATCATTTATTTGAATTTTTACAGTCTTCAACAAACATTGTAGTTAAAAAATTAGTTCTATTCACATACAGTTAGTTTTGTTATTAACAGTACTTTAGATATAATAAGCCTTAAAAGAGATGTGTTAAAATCAGTTTAGTAGCCATCTATACTTCAAAAGTTACATGGTCCTGAAATGTTCTGTCTGAAGTATTGGCCTGTTTTATCAGTTCATTCCCTTGCAATTACCATCTTACAGTCGTACCTGTACATGTCAAGGAATTGATCCAGAGACTTGTGGAGCTTCATTCTCTTTTGGCTGTTCATGGAGTATGTATTTCAATGGCTGCAAATTTGGTAGAAGCCCAAGCCCTAGAAGATTTAGAATTGATCCAAGCTCTCCCTTACATGTAAGTGTTTCTTTTAACCTTTTAATTTATACAGTGAATGTATAAGTGCATTTCTTTACAATGTTTTTAAATAGTAAAAAATTAAATATTAAAAAGTAGTGACAAAACAGTAAAAATATATACTTATGTAAATAGATTAAAATTCTACATACACTAGGTGAAGTCTTTATTAACCCAAATTCCAATTGTCCCTGGCTCCTTCCTCCTTCTCCCCTCACCCCAGAGAGAATTATTGCTAAAAGAATCTAGAATTTTATACCCAGCCTAAGTAGGAAGAATAAATAAAGCCATTTGCAAACATTTCAAAGACTCAGAAAGTTTACTACCCACAGAGCTACTATGAAAGAATTACTAAAGGACGTAATCCAGAAAGAAGATATATGAGACCGGAAGCAATCTGTCCGGGACACGAGGCCATGGTGAGCAAAGAAATTAGTCAACCTTACTGTTAAGTTTAAATAAGTTGAGTACTTACATTTTAAATTAAAAATAACAACCTATAAGTATAATTCCATTCTCTTAACAACTCAAGGGTGGGTAGGTAGTGGGAGGGGGTGGGGCACCTACAAGAACTAAGTGTGGTGATGTTTTATGCTTTGTTTGGAGTGGGAAGAACTTAGATACTGATTAACCCTAAGATCAGTGTTTTTCAAACTTTGAGCTGTGACCGAGAGTAAAAATATTTTCTATTACATACCACTCTACAGATACATAGAAGTAAATAATTTAAACAAAACTATCAGGATAGAAGACTTAGCCTTAATATATGTAACAAAGAAAAAATTTAAAAAATTAAAAGTTAATATCCAATATAGTCATTGTTAAGGATCTCTAGGATGCAGTATAATATTTTTTATAAAATTTCATTTCTTTTTGAAATACTAGTTGTGACCTACTGAACAGATTTTTTGGCCAACTAATTAGTCATGACCCACAGCTTGGAAAACACTGCTCTAGTCAGAAAAACATCTTTAATAAAGTGCATGTTTAAAATTTTTTTTAGATGAATAGAAATAGAATTTATAACTTTGAACTAGTTGTGGGGGAAAATTTAAAAGCGAGCAATCCATTTACAAAATCATTGGGATACAGGATAAATAGAAAAGAAAATAAAACAACAGGAATCAATCCAACTATATCCATAATACAACAAATATAACATCTTTTGAAAAAGCTTAGAATTAAATAGATAATGATCCCTTTAAACTGGTAATTAAAATTATTTAGCATTTTCTGGAGTTTCCACCTATTGCAATAAAACAAGAAAAAGACTTGAGAGAGAGAAGTATCATTTGCAGATAATGTGTTATACTATACCATGGAAGTCTAACAAGAAATGGGTTAGACCTTTAGGGAGAAAAGTACAAAAAATCAGTAAAGGACATATAAAACACCTGATAATGGAAAGCCGCTATGTTCAAAGGTCAGAACACTTGATAATGTGATGTCAGTTCGCCCTTAAAATTAACCCATTGTGTTTTCTTTCCAAATATTACATGATGAAACTGTTAACATGTAAATATATTACTAATACTGACATGACTTAAATTTTTATTCTATAGTGATACTATTATATAATTAATAAATGTCAGATCAGCTTTTGCTCATAGTTATTATTCATAATGATTAACATTTACATAGTGCTTACGATACGGGATAAAGCATTGATCATTCCAGGAACTGAGAGGAGGCTAGTATGAAGCTCAGTAGTCAAAGGAGAGTGAGGCGCATGCAGTGTCCTTGTAAGCCTTGTCAGGATTTTGGAAGATCATTGAAGGGTGTTAAGGAGGAGAGTAATATAATTACACTTGTCTTTTAAAGAGTTCTCTATGGCTGCCTTTTGAATAATGGATTGCAGTTGGCCAAGAGTGGGTTTAGCAAAATGAGCTAGCAAGAAAATAGTCCAGCAAAGGGATAATAGTAGCTTGGATTATGGTTGTGAGAGAGGAAATGATGAGCAGTGGTTGGTCTGGGAAGATTTTTAAAAATTAGATAGTGGTGCTGTTCCTTGACAAAAGGGTACACTGAAATAGTGCCAGGTTGGTAGAGGAGAAATTATGAATTCAGTTTTTTAACAATGTGTTGGAGATTCCCTTTGGGAATTCCAAATGGGGATTATCAGGTGAATAAAAATCTGAAGCTCAGATTTTCAATAAAAAGTCTGGGGTAATCTGTGGTCCAGGTGGTAATTGTAGCCATGGATGTGGATTTGATGATCCCTGAGATCACCTATAGGGTGAGAAGAGTAGAGGGATGTTGGCTTGAGCCCCAACAGGTAAAGATCTGGTAAGAAGCGTTTATATCTGAAATATACATTTATTCTAAAGAAGCAATTAGAAAGTCAATATTTTTATAATATAAACGAACTTTACATTCATAAAATGATTCCAGTCATCAGCTCTACAATCTTTGCTTAATTTGTTTCTATTTGCCTCCCTTTTTCCCCCAACAATTCCACTCAATAAATGTAATTTTTTATAAGATGACAGTCTGATTTGTGACACTGGATATTTGATAATATTTTACTTGCAGAAAAACACAATTAAACCATGCCACCCAGTATTTCAAGTGTTATGAAACAGTAAAAATCTTTCTTAACAGGTATTTAAGTCATAATTCTAAAGTTTTCCCCAAATAAATAAAATAATTAATGTTTGTATAGACGGGATGTCTTTTTAGAGTAGGATCCTAACTTTCCTCACTGTATTTATTAAACTATATTAAGTAACAGATAATGAAATACACAGACAAAAGGAATAGAGTAATTTAGATATAGACCCTATGCACATAAATGTCATTTTCAATGGAAGCATCAACATACATCAGTATGAAACCCAAAGAATTATCACTGATTCTTTACAGTTGCCACCACTGAGGCTTGTTAGAAGCAGTCAAGAATTAACTTCTTAGGTTTACATTGCTGTATGGCTTTGGCTTTTATAATAATCTAACGTGTATCAGAGGTGATCTGACCTGTATGAAAGTCTTCTTTCTGTGTTCTTGGTTGGTATCCACCAAATTTCAAATGAGACAGGAGGCTCAAAACTTCTTAAGTTCCTCCTTCATTCTTGTTCTTTGGTCCCCTTCAATTGTCTTCCTTTGATGTGACCGATCATTTTTACCAAGTCCTTGACTTGATTTAGGATTATAATTATCTCTGAAAAACTATCACAATGGTCTTTCAACTATTGTTTTCAAAATCTTTCTTCTCTGCCTCATACCTTGTACTGCCATCAGTGATGTAACATTTTGAACATTCTTGTCATAACCCTGTTCCTTTGAAGAAGCCTATGTTTCTACAATAATATTAGTAGCAATCCAGATTCTTTTAAGAAAAAAATTCTTTACTGATTTTAGAGAGAGAGGAAAGTAGAGAGAGAGACATCAATTTGTTGTTCCACTTATTTGTGCATTCATTGGTTGATATTTGTATGTGCCCTAACCAGGCGTTGAACCAGCAACCTTGGCTTATTGGGACAATATTCCAACTAACGGAGCTACCTGGCTGGGATTAGCAATCCAGATTTTAATGTTAAGGTTCCTCACAGTCCCACAGAATCTTCCTCAATTTGTAGACTTGATGGTGTAGAAAAGACAACACTGGTTGCCTACTTACTACATTTGAAGCTCTTAGCACAGGATCTGATACATGCTGTGCACCTTCTGTGCATTGTTCTCCTATCTCTGTTATAGAAAGTTCTTGCACTGTGTCAGAATTCTTTGCTTGGACGTCTCCCTGTGCCAGCAGCAACTTTGTCTTTATTTACTTAAAGTGCCTAGTATCATTGAGTAAATACATAAAATACAGTTCTCATTTTTAGCAGCATGAACAGTTTTGCAACTTACTACTAACACCATTTAGATTTCTAATTAACTTATAACATAGAATTTTAGTTTTAAAAGACTAAATTTAAGCCTAACAATCACTAATTGTATATATTTTCTTTAAAAATAACCCATGCTATTTTCTATGGTAGCTCTTTTATCAGGGTAAGTATGAATTGTGCATCAATTACATATCATTTTCATAACCTTAAATTCACCTTACATGTCATTGTGAAACAACTTTTATGGACTGTCTTTTCCTATAGGAAAAAAACCTTGAAGAAAATTTACAGAGTTTGGCCACACAATTAGCTCCAATTTATAAGCAGTATGCTCCAGTTGCTTACCAGAACCAGGTACGTTTTGGGACTTTATGGTATTCTTAGCCATGGTTGAAATTCCTATGTAAACAAAATTACTGTTACAGAAAACCTTTCCAATTTGAACTTTGAAGTACATTTATTTTAATTAAACAGCTTTAAAATTCTATCCAGTATTTTTTAAAGTACTGTTGTTAAATGAATTAAAAACTCATGACAGAATTATGATTACTTCTAAAAATAAAACTTATAAAAACGGGAATGTGTGATTAGTTCAACACATGAAAATTAACCAATATTTAGTAATATACCGTATTAGTGTAACAAAGGACAAAAACTACATGACACTTCTATGGATGTAGAAAAAGCAGGGAGCACTCAATCTTTCCTAATAAAAACACTCAACAAACTAACAATAGTTGCCAGTAGTATGATCCTGTATGTTGAAAATACTGAGGCACGTACACATATACACAATTAGAACTAATTATTGAGTTCAGGAAGGTTTCTGGATGAAAGATCAATATGCAAAGATCATTGTACCTCTATACACTAGCAGTGGACAATCAAGAGATCTTAAATGTTACTACTACACAAAAGGATTGAAATGTCAACTAACCTTATTGTAATAATCATTTTGCAATACATACATCTATTGAACACCTTAAACTACATGATATATGTCAGTGATATCTCACTAAAATTGTGGGAGGGGGTGAATTGTTTAAAAGATAACTATAGGATGGGAGGAAATATTTACAAATCATGTATCTGACAAATTAGAGAATAACTATAGTTGTTTTTTGTTGATTTTTTAAATTTTTTTAGAGAGGGAAAGGAAAATCAATTTGTTATTCTACTATGCATTGGTTTTTGCAAAAAAAAATTTCAATTATAAACATAAGTACAGGTTCCTATTTTTTAATCTTTTTTTAATAAAAAAATAAAAATTTTAAATTTTATTTAAAAATAAAAATATTTAATATTTTTAAATCTATTTGTATTATGAATAACATGCTCTGTTAAATTCCAGCTTTTCATTTAAAAATTTTATAAATTTACTTTCTGTACTGTTTCATAAATATGTATATATATTTACTTTTCATACACATTGAAAACTCTGCATATATGATTAATGCACTGCATTAGTCTTTCTTCCTAATGGCATGATTTAGGCTACTGTACTTATTGATGTATATAACCAGTGGGTATTAATGTTCTTACTCTGCCTTCAGTCATAGTAATTATCATTTTACCCATGTATTCTCAAACTCTTTACTTGAATGTCACTAAAACTACACAGTCATTGCAATAATACACTAGTTTCTGAAATCTCTCAAATTACAAACTGTAAGTAACTTTAGAATTTTGTCATGAAGTGGTTTTTACTCTTTACTGAAATTGATTCTTTCTGTCTCTTAAACTGTGTGTAATGCTTTTTTTTTTTTTTTAAGGTGGAATATGAACATGTCGCTCGAGAATGTCGGCTTGGCAGCAAAGAAGGTCGTCCTTTCTCTGGGGTCACTGCTTGCCTAGACTTCTGTGCCCATCCCCACAGGGACATTCACAACATGAATAACGGAAGCACCGTGGTATGTACCTGTCTGGCTTTTGATTCTGAAAGTTCCATTTCTGTGTGCTTAGGCTTAGGCCGAGGTCCTTAAATATGACTTGTAACAAATCATATTGTATGTTTTGTTCATATATATATGTATATTGTTAATATAAATTATTATTGAAGTACTTCCAAAAATGTTACAGAAGCACCCTGACTGGTATGGCTCATTGGGTGGGTCGTTGTCCAGCAAACGAGGCTTACTGTTTCGATTCCTGGTTAGTGCAGACGCCTGGATTGCTGGCCAGGCCCTGGGCGTGTGGGATACAACTGACCATTGTTCTCTCACATGTAGATGTTTCTCTTTCTCCCTCAATTCCCCTCTCTAAAATTAAATAAAATTCTATGTAAAAAAATTTCCTCTAGAACTAGCCTTCAACATATATATTGACTTATATATTTAATTACGGTATGTGTGCTGGTACGTAGAAATTATGTGATTATTCAAAGCAACAATTCTATGCCATCAAACTGATAGCCAGGAAGTTAAGTAACTTAATGCTTCTTCTTCTTCTTCTTTTTTTTTTTTTTTTGCCATCTATACTTCAACGTTTTTATGAGGGAACTGTGCCAAATTAATCTATCATCTCTTTAATGCACGTTGGTTCTTAATGTTAGTGTGTATAAAGTTTCATGAACATTTAAAAAAATATTAGAATATTTGCATTTATCTGTGCATCTAGTGTTTATAGCCATGAAAAGAATCACAGGCTTGTAGTGTGAAGTCAATCAAGAGATACTTAAATTTGGTAAAATATCCAGGGTAAAATCTTGCAATAGTCCTTTGGTGTGAGGGAAAGGAGTTTGCTTCAAGTAATTATTTTCTTCTAACCTTGTAAAACAGATTAATGGAAAATAATTGCTTCTGTTTTTGTGATATGCCAATATGTTTGGTTGGCCCAGTATAAGACAGAGCTACAGGCTTAACTGATTTGGAATGCACAATCGGATTCATCACTGTCCTGTGAAGTCTGTCAGTGATATACTAAGGAGACAAAATAAGTTTTTGCATATCATTCCTCTGCACTGATTATGACTATAGTATTTGAGACCGGTGTTATTTCCAAATGTTGGAATTTTTATCTGGACAGTCATCTCTCCAGATGACTCTGAGCCAGAGAGTGGCTTATCATCATCACTTGGCTAGTACATTTTACCTGAATTGCCTCATTCCGGAATATCTGTGATGAGGCTGTATTAGGTTCACAGTCAAACTAAATGAGAAACCAACTTTTGGTTGCTCTTTTCTTGTGCTTTTCATGTTATTATTCAGCACTTGCTCTTCTCCACTGCTTTCATTATTTATGCTATGAGCCTCACACCTAGACCTGACCTAATTCCAAATTTCCCCATCTTCAAACACCTGAATTCTTAAAATTCTACTGTCACCTTTTCTTCTACCCCCTTTCCCTAATTTTCTAATTATATTCCTCATGTCTAGTCCTTGTCCCCTTCTTAATATTCCTGTGGACAAAGAGATTGAAGTAAATTTTTACTAGTGAAAGATTCAAATTTTTAAGCTATTAAATTTTAAAATATTGAACTCAAGAGTTTGATATTTCAAGACATGCTGGTAAATGTAACCATCAACACTGAGAAAAGAGTAAGATTTTTAAAACTTTCAGCCTATTTGACTTTATCATTTGTATCCATCCAATCTGAGCAATCTTGGAAATCAAATCTGACAATTGAATTTATTTCTGGTTTTATAACATCTCTGCCATCTTAGAAAGAGTTTTTAACTCTAGGAAAATGTTTTCAATAAAAAATAATGAAACCACTGGCTGTGCTTTTAATGGATCTTTAATAACACTTGAAAATTATAAAAATAGTAGCATATGAAGAATATTATTAGGCATAAAGGTCAGGAATTTTCTGTATTTTCATTTCTCTACAATGAATAAAATAAAGGACAAGGACCAAGAGTTAGGTTATATAAAAGACAGAATTTTCTTAATTTGTCCTAATTAATGTCCTAAATAATGTCAGGTAAAGTTATTGATATGATCCTAACTATAATAGAAGCAAAATGGAACAGAAAGAGAAAATTTATCAAGATATGAAATACTTTAGCTATTTCTTTAAAACAAGTCGAATATATAAATTCCACTAGAAAAGGAAATCTTTTGTGATTCTTCTTTTGCTTCATTAATACCTGCCAATTTATTTATTGAAGAAATAAACTCACCCTGGCCCTGACCCGCATTGCTCAGTGGGTTGGTCGTCATTCCGCAAAGCTAAGGATCACCAGTTCAGTTCCCAGTCAGGGCACATGTCTGGGTTTCAGGTCAGGTCCCCAGTTGGAGGCATGCAAAGAGGCAACCATCAATGTTTCTCTCCCTCTCTCCCTCTCTTGCCCTCTCTAAAAATAAATAAATAAAATCTTTTGAAAAAATCATCCTGGAAAAAAGGTAGAGAAAATTATCTATAAATTTCACTTACAGATAAATGTGAAAATATCCTAGAGGAAAACACAGCAAATTAGAAAATTCCATAATTAAGCTCCCTCTACCCCAAGGAATGTGACATTCAAATATTAAGAAATAAGGTGTTTATAGACTCAAATAATATCTTCTCAGTAGTTAATATTTAATATGAAGGTAGTGAATAGTTCACTAACTGTTACTCAACTTAGGCAGTTAAGATGGAATAATGTAAAGAAGGCCTAATATTTAAAATACTATAAAATACATAAAATATACACTATTATTTACTTTAAAAATCAACTCAAAATTATAATGGTCTGCTTACAAACAATAAATTAGTTGCTAGAATTGAATAGCATTCAGTGGCTTTAATATAGAAGACCTTTATTCAAAATTAATATGCTAGTAGTAACCAATTAAAAATAGAACAAGAATACAGTTCCTTTGCATTATGGCAACAATAAGAAGGTAGAAATAATTATGATGAATGTTCAGGACCTATATTTTCCATTTCATGTTTTCTTCCTATCAGGTTTGTACTTTAACACGAGAAGATAACCGTTCTTTGGGTGTTATTCCTCAAGATGAGCAGCTGCATGTGCTACCCCTTTATAAACTTTCAGACACAGATGAATTTGGCTCAAGGGAAGGAATGGAAGCCAAGATCAAATCTGGGGCCATCGAGGTCCTCACGCCCCGCCCTAAAAAAAGGACACGTTTTACTCAGCCAGTTCCTCGTTCTGGGAAGAAAAGAGCAGCAATGATGACAGAGGTCCTCGCACATAAGATAAGGGTTGTGGAGAAGAAATTCATTCCTCGAATTAAGCGAAAGAATAATTCGACGACAAACAACAGTAAGGCTTCATCACTGTTGCTTTTAGGTGAGGTCTATACACTGTGCTAATTTTCTGTGCACAAATTGTCTTGGCAGAAGTTTGGAGTTTCCTTTGCCCTGTATTTTTCCTCTCCTTTATCTCCGCTGCTGTTAGGAATGAGGCAATTATAGGAAGAAAGTCTTTATGTCAGATATCAATTAATCAATTTAGGAAGCTAATTGTTCTGACATGTCATTTGTTTTTAATATAGCTTGTTTAGAGTTCAGACTATATATAACACACCAAATATATTTCAATATCTTTAACAAAACCAAAAGTCAACAAAAACAGTGACCCATGTGTATTTCATAATATTTTCTTCTGTTAATGTTAAAAAAAAAACAACACTTTTCTTGGTCCTCATCTATTCTGAAGACGTAGACTCCTTAGCATACATAAAATAACATCACTTTCTTGAAGTCTTCCTTGATCACCTTTAGCATCAATTTAAGTAACCTACTCAACAAATACTACTGAGCACCACTTTGAAGTGTGCTGGGTATTGGAAACATAGCCATAAAAAAGAGGGGAGATGGTGCTGTAAAAGAATTTCATTTAGATAGGGTTGTCAGAAGGATTCACAAAGAGTGAGGCATTTGTGTAAAGTCCTGCAGGAAATGAGAATCTGCAGTGCATTTATCTGGAGAGAGAGCATTCCAGTCAGAGAAAATGGCAAATATAAAAGTCAAGAGGCAGGAACTTCCCTTGAATACTTGATGGAAGCACGGAGGCCAGCGTGGCTGGAGCGAGTGTGAAATGAGACGAGCTGGAGATGAGATCAGAGCTGTAGGAGGGGATCTGAGCAGTTCATCTCAGGTTTTCTAGATTGCTGTATAGACTTTGCTCTTTATTGCCAGTGAGAGGAAGTTTCCTGGAGATTTCAGGATAGAAAAGCGTGATGATGTGACTCAAGCCTAACATTCTGGTTCCTGGGTTAAAACTAGACTCAAGTGGGGCAGGGACTAGAAAAGGACAATGATCATAAAGATGCTATCCTAACCACCCAGGAGAGAGATGAGATGATGCAGTTTGGATGAGAGTGGCTAATAAGGATATGAGAAATGTCTGATTCTGTATATGGTTTGAAGATACGAGTGAATGGGATTTCTGATAGGTTAAATTTGGAGTGTGGACCAAAAAATGTATCACTGTTTACCCTGATGTTATTGGCCTGGAGAAACTATCAACATGTCATGAGGAATGGGGAGAGAAAAAAAGAATTGGAAAGATATAGAGGGAGATCAGCTTACTTCTGTCAGACATTTGAGTCTAACATATTAGATGAGCAGTTGAAGAAGAATATAGTTCTGAGATAAGGTCAAGCTGGAGGTATAATTTAGGAAGTCAATTTTGTAGAGATAGTATTTCAAGCCATGAGAATGCATGAAATCACAGAGAAACTAAAGGAGATAGAAAAGAAGTTTAATCAAGGACAAATCCTGAGAATAGTTAATCTGTAGATACTTCAGAGATGAGGAAGAACCAGCAAGAGAGATGTGGTATGTCTGTCTGGTGAGGTAGGAATGAAACCACAAGAGTGTAGTGTTTCAAGGAGGGAGTAGTTAACTATGTCAAATGCTGCTGCTCGTATGTCAACTGAGATGAAGACTGAAATTATTTCACCGTTAGATTTGAAGGTTATTATTAGAGGTCCTGCTAGAGCCGATTTCATTTCAGTAGAGTGGGGTGAGAATGAAGTAGATTTATAGAAAAAAAATTAGGAGAAATTCTTGTAAGTTGGCTATAATGAAGATGAATTGAATGAAGTGAAGGTTATACAGTTGAGTTTCCTTAAGTAGAATTTTTTTTTAATGTATAAAGGGAATGAATTATATAATGAACCCCATGTCCCTCATATGCTCCCAGTTTTAAAATTTTTCAATATATAGGCATTTTAATTTCACCTGTACGCATACCCAGACCCCACCTCTTAAAATTTTTTTTATAATGAATTGCAGAAGTCATACCCCATTAACCATTGATTCTTCAGTATGTATCACTAAAAGGTAAGGCATTTTTATAACCACAATACCTAAAACAAACCATAAAAATCAAAGAATGCCTTAATACTGATCAGTGTTCAAATTGTTTCCTTTGTCTCTTGGTTGCTTTTTTTGTTTTTTACATTTGGTTGGTGTAAATCAGTAACCAAATGGTGACCAAGAAAGGTCACACATTATATTTAGTTGATATATCTCCTGTACCTTTTTTTTTTAATTTAAGGCTTACTTTTTTCCTCTTTTTCTCTTTTTTCTTTTTTCATTATAGTAGAAAATGTTGTCCTGTAGAGACAAATTCAACTTCAGTGTTTTTCTTTGAAAATTAATATGGCAAGAGCACCATCTGTAATTCTTACATTTTTGTTTCTTCACATCCAGATATGCATAGTGTCTGATGGTATATCTTTTTTTGATGTTAAGCCTGATTCATGAGTCAAGTGTTACCATCCTAATTCACTGATTATATTGTTCCCTATCAGCTTTTTACCTAATGATTTTAGATACATTTATATTCTGTATTGTTTATTTCATTAGGAGGAATAACATCTATTATTAATTTTTCATTTGTTGGTTCATCTTCTTTTAAAAAGAAGTATTGCCCTTATCAATACTTGTTGATTCTCAAGAATAGTTCATATAGGGAAATCAGAATAGATGCTTAGCTATTTGTTGTTATTTGTCAGTTTTCAGAATGCAAGTCAATTCCCAAGCATCTTCTACTGTGGTCAATTTTTTAAAAATTTACTATCATTTTGATCTTGTGGGTTTAAAAAAAAAGTTTCTATTACATTGCATTTAAATAGGGTTTTTTTCCTCCAACTAAGTTTGAAAATGCTTTTTGAAAACAATTCTCAAATTGTCCCATCTTTAGTCAGTAGAAACCCACCACGCTGCCTTCTGAATTTTTTTTTGTCATGACCCCAATTATCTTTGATAACATCTTTTCTGACAAGATGTTCCAGGCTCATCTTATGTAATCCCGCCCCATATCTAAAATCGGCCATTTCTCCAAGGAACCTAAAGGAAAAAATACACCATGAATTTATACTGATATTCAAACTTAGAGTTAGAGGGTATTCCTTAACTTCTTTGATCTTTATATTTGTAAGAGAGGTTGTCTTTTGTTTTTGTTTTTGTTCTATTTTTTATTTTTTTGAGATGAGAGAAATGACAGTGCAGACATTTATATAGTGATGGAAAAAATTCCATGAAGAGATAGTGAAGAGGGAAGGCAGAGAGAATTATCATTCCTTTTTGCCTGTAGTTTCATTTTGTGGGCAATATTTAAATCTTATTTTAAGATTCACATAACTGGTTACATGCTACTTGTAAATAACAATCATATCATTCCCCAATAACATCTTTACATGTAGTTTTTAAATAGTATATACCTTATTAGTAACCACATGTACAATATTTCGCATATAACCTTTTGATCCCTATATAATCTTATCCATATAATCTTTCTTTTACAAATTTTATTCAACTCCATGAATCACTATTTTAAACATTCCTTCCTATGATTTATATTTGTTGACAACTTAATCTCCATAATAATAGGTGTCGCAATAGATACTAGCTGGAGTCTTTTGACATACCCTCTTTGGGTCCTAGGTATAAGTTCTTCTCTAGAAATGAGAACCAATGTGTGTCTAGGTTGTATCACCTAGGAGGAAAATTGCAGATCTCCTGAATGAGATGTTTGCTATTATGTTGTTAATTATTTTAAAACATAGCCACTTTACTTTTTCTATTTTATCAGTCCTAAAATTCACTGTTTTTGCACTTCCAAAATGTTTTTGAAACTTCAAAACAGAGAATGTCGTCAGCAAGAGTATTTTCATTTCATGTAATGTTTGTGTGGGTATGTCAGAGCAGTTACCCACACTGAACGGTGTGATAACAATGTTCTACAGTACTTACGGAAAGAAACAAGGTTAAAGGCATGTGTTTTTAAGGGTTACAAATCACTTATTTTCAACTAACATTTTTCTCTCTGACTTCCCTTCACTAATAACAAACTTTGCCAGTTAGGAGGCTTTCCTTGCCCCAAAATACTTATAAACTATTACTTTTACTTTTCTAAAAATGAGATTATGCAATATGTAAAATCTATCTAAACACATCCTTGTGTAGTTAAATATGTCATCATATTATCACCTGCATTATATTCTAATGTATTTAATATTTACTTCATAGCCAATTAGGTCATTTGTAGTATCTTACTATTTTATACAGTGGCATCCTTCTGGTGAAATCTGTTTATTTATTTATGATTATTTAGAAGTAAAGAAATTCTTTAAGGAAAATTGTTGGGTGAAAAAGCTACCAACTACATCCCATTTTTAATGTACGCATGTGTGTTTGACTTAAAGAAAATAGAACAAAACTGGCCAACATTGCCATCACCAGTGTTTTTTTTTTTATTCTTTGTACTCTTTAAAAATACTCTTTAAAATCAGCGATTACCAAAAGTAGCTTGTACTTACCTTCACATTTGGTATCCTTTTCTCTGTTTAGGGAATAAAACGGAGACCTTGCAACCTGAAACAAAAAGTGAAGCTGAACCCAATTTTATCTTCAAAGGTTCAGACAACATTAAAACCTACTCACTGACCCCATCCATTCCTCACCCAGCGAGAGAGGCGAGCTTGTCTCCAGGTTTCTCTTGGCCCCCGAAGACTGCTTCGACCACCACATCTTTTAAAAGCAATGCGTCAGTTTCGTGCGGGTTTTCAGAAAGAAGTACCAATCCTCACTGCACGATGCCTTCTGCAGGACACAGTGGTGCTAGTGCTGCTGCTGGGGAAGGCACTGGAGTTGCACAGCCTCATGAGGTGAGTCCTCTTCCCACCTTGTCTACTCCCATGTCAGATTCCGGGGCTTATTCTGAGCCTCCCACTGGTCCATCTGAGCAGCTACCTTCTAATCAGCCAAACCAGCAGCTCCCACTCATCACCTCTCCTCCTGAACTTGCTTCCTCTCTGGTGGAAGAAGATGAGCAGCATTCTGAAGCGGATGAGCCTCTATCAGATGACCCCCTATCAGATGACCCCCTGTCACCCGCTGAGGAGAAATTGCCCCACATTGATGAGTATTGGTCAGATAGTGAGCACATCTTCTTGGATGCCAATATTGGTGGGGTGGCAATAGCACCTGCTCACGGCTCGGTTTTGATTGAGTGTGCCCGGCGAGAGCTTCATGCCACAACTCCTGTCGAACACCCAAACCGGAATCACCCTACGCGCCTGTCCCTTGTCTTCTACCAGCACAAAAACCTGAATAAGCCCCAACATGGTTTTGAACTAAACAAGATTAAGTTTGAAGCTAAAGAAGCTAAGAATAAGAAAATTAAGTCCTCAGAGCAGAAAGATCTGGCAGCTAATGAGGGTCCTCAACTGTCCTCTGAAGTTAATGAATTGAACCAAATTCCTTCTCATAAAGCGTTAACATTAACCCATGACAATGTTGTCACTGTGTCCCCTTATGCTCTCACACATGTTGCAGGGCCCTATAACCATTGGGTCTGAAGGCTTTTCTCCTCTTTTTAATGCCTTTGCTAGTGCAGTGTATTTTTTCAAGGTGCTGTTAAAAGAAAGTCATGTTGTCGTTTACTCTATCTTCATCTCACCCATTTGAAGGCTAAGGTGAAAAAAAAAAGGGTGGGTATCTCTTAACTGTGACTATATTTTGACAATTGGTAGAAGGTGCACATTTTAAGCGAAAATAAAAGTTTTATAGTTTTAAATACATAAAGAAATGTTTTGGTTAGGTGTTAACCTTGATAGAATCACTCAGTTTGGTGCTTTAAATTAAGTCTGTTTACTATGAAACAAGAGTCAGTTTTAGAGGATTTTAACAGGCAATGTGCTATGATGTAAAATCAAGATACACAGTATTAACTCTACACAGCTCCTGGTGCTTAACCACATCAACACAGTTAAAAATAAGCTGAATTATTATTTCATGGTGCCATTGTTCCAACATCTTCCAATCATTGCTAGAAAATAGGCATATTCCTTTGAAATAAACCAATGAAATATTTTATCTCTTAAAGTTATCTCTCCTGTATAAAATAATTCATTATTGTTAGTAATGGTTGGAGGCTGTTCGTAAAGTGTAAATATATATTTTAAAAGCACTTTCTATTTTTAAAAGTAACTTGAAATAGTATAGTATAAGAATCCTATTGTCTATTGTTTGTGCATATTTGCATACAAGAGAAATCATTTATTCTTGCTGTGTAGAGTTCCATCTTATTAACTGCAATATGTATTCTAATCATGTATATGGTTTGTGTTTTTAATGTGTTTTTCTCATGCAAATATTAGCTACTTACATAAAATAGATCATGCAAAAATTGTTAATTTTTCTAAAATTGGAATTTGAAAGCATATCACCAATATTGATTCACATTTTCTTGGGAACTAAGTAGTAATGGTCTCTTCTGATTTATTAAGCAACATTGGCCCAAGTTTACTTTCACTGTAGCTTTCTTAATATAATCCATGAGAGGTGTTTCCAAAAGGAGATGGGATATAGTAGGAATTAGGAGAGTCAAATGCTTCTAAAGTTTCAAGGTGATAAAATACAAAAATTAAGTTGTAAGAATCCTTCTTATCCCAAATTGCCTTATTTGTTCTGAAAGTCATTCTGGTACAGAATAAGAATAAAATTTATATAGAAATATTTTGAAAATAAATTACTTATTATCATCACTCACCCCCCAAAAACAGTAAGAATGGTACTATACATATAGTTCTATTCATAAAAGCTAATCCAAATTAGTTTAAGCATACTAGTTTTGGGAAAATGATAACTCATCTTCTGTGATAATTGCCTATGTTCTATGTAACAGGAAAATAGGCATTCCATTTATATTAGTCCTCCCATTATTTTTTGTTACTTTATTGATTTATAGCAAAACAAAAGGGATTGCCCAAAGCAAACATTTAGAACAAGGAGAAATTACAATGAAATACTTGATTCTGTTAAAATGCAGAGGTGCTATAACATTTAAAGTCTCAGATTCCTTGGGAGTATGGAAAACCTAATGGTGCTTCTCCCCTGGAAATGCCATAGGAAGCCCACAACCGCTAACACTCACAATTTTGGTGCAAAAGCAAACAGTTCCAGCAAGCTCTCTAAAGAAAAACAAATTATAACATATTAAAATAATATATGGTGCAAAGTATTAGTTTCAAGCTTTGACTAATCAAAGTAAAGGAATATGAAGGGATTGTAAATAACAAGGTGTTCATTGATAGACCATCATCTTGTACAAGTAGATTTCTGCTTTTGAATATGTGAAATAGGGTAATTCATTGACTTGTTTTAGTATTTTGTGTGCCTTAGATTTCTGTTTTAAAACATGTATATTTTTGTGAGCCTAAGGTTTCTTATACATATAAGTATATAAATAAGTGATTGTTCATTGTTTCAGCTGCTTAAATAAGATATTTACTAGTATTAGACTATCAAGAATACACCCTTGTGATACTTCGTTTTAGTTTTAGGCCTTAGCTCCCACTAGAAATTATTTTCTCACCATATTTAATGGATAAAGCTTTAAGATCCTTTATCCATCCACCCATCTATCCATTCTTCCACTCAACACGTATTGAATGTCTGCAAAATTTAAGTGTTAGCTTTTTTTTAAATCACCACCTGTGACAGTAAACTTGAAGAATTAAGATCTTAGAAAATACTCTTACACATATTTTTCAGAAAAGTAGCACATTTCCTTCAAAACAACCTATGTGATTCATCTGCAGCGATTCAGATCTGGTCACTAACTTTAAATAAGGTCCTAAACAATGTAAACTTGAAGCACCAATGTCGACATAGGGAATGTTGGGATTTTTTAAATTAGTTGCAGTTAACCAAAACAAGTACATGAAAATATCTAATCTCAACTGAAAATGTATCCACTCAATTGTAATTAGCACCATCAGTGGCCTGTTCAGCTGATAACCCCATGATGGGAATCACACATGATTCCTACATTGTTGGACTCTTTCATAAGTTTAACAGTTTACCGTCCCATTGTGTGCCCTGTAATTTCTTAATAGCCCGTGCTTATTTAATGTTCTGCAGCATTGTGATTGTATGCTGGCTACACTGCTGTTAGAATGCTCTTTTTCATGAAGCAAGGAAATAAATTTGTTTGAAATGACATTTTCACTCAGAAAACTGGTCATCTAACATTATTTCTATACCTCTATTTTACTGTAATGATCACTTTTGTTTTACCTTTTTTTGTAGCAGTCAAATTGGGTTTTCAATCTTCTGCCTTTGTTCATGGTATGATAACTGAATTCATTGATACATGACTCCCAGGTTAGCCCAACCTGTTCATAATATGTTACAAAATTAACCATGATGAATAACTCCTGCCCTTTGTAGAAGCCTACAAAATATGCTGCCTTTCAAACTCCCATTTCTAATGGCTCCTAGGCTATCATTGAAATTTTTCTTGTGCGTGTCAGCCTCTCAGATCCTCTTTCCAACTCATCCACAAAGTACCAAATATATCATGCCGTAAACCTAATTGAAATATATCAGCGATTTTCAACTGGTGTGCCACAGCAAGAATTTTTAAAACATTTAATACCTGACCTCTTTTCCCTTAACTTATCTAATTAAAAAATAGCAGCCAACACAACAATAGCCATCTGGTGTGAATGAATCAAAATTATACCTACTTTTTGTCACATTGGCAAAAATATATATTTTGGTGTGCCGCAGAATTTTAGTAATTAGTTTATATGTGACATAAGATGAAAAAAGCTGAAAATTGCTGAACTATTATTTATTATTGGAAAGTGACCCTAACTGAAAGTGTATAGCTGTAGGTTAATTTTTGCAACATATTAGCAAAATGTTTGCATCTTAAATAACCTTCCAACATCTTTATGCAATCTGCATGTGGATAAAATGATTTCATTTGTTAAATATAGAATTTTACTAGATTAGATCCATAAGCAATTTACTTAAGACATAACCCCAATACATACTTAATTGAATGCATACCCTTGTGTAAATGAGATACTGACTTAATTCATATGAAGTAACCTACTTTCTAATGTTAATACTTCATGGATTCCTACTGATTATCATTTATTTCACAATAGCATGTGTGAAAATAACCTCAAAGTATTTAAGTTTAGTCTTCTTTAAACATCATATTGAAATTTTTTATCTGGGACAAAGTTTTGACATTGCATGACAACATCTACCTATAGTAGGCACAGCATTTGTTTTGAATGTGCCAAGTAAATCAGTAGCTGTATGTGATCTTTAATAATATATAGCTACCTTCTATTTCACAACATTTTAATGCATGGAAATCTTTTTTTTATTTTTAGTTTTAGTACAATTGTGAATTTTGATCTTTTGTAGAAATTTATGACAAGAATTGTGAAATAAGGCTATATAGTAGTGGCCTCCCACAGCACTGGAAGACACCTTAGATATCATAAAGTTCAATCACTGGGCCCCAAAGAACAGATTTAAATGTCAGTTTTTTGTAATTAGAATTTAAAGAGTCAAATAAAGGTTACTTTGTGGTTAAAATGACCGAAGGAAAACACACTTGATTTGATCCACCTGTAAGGTATTTTATTAATGGGAAATAACCTTATTTTGATACAAGTCAAAAATAAAATGGCTTTGGGTTTTTTTTTTTTTTTTTTTTGAGAGGTTCAGAGAAAGACATTAAGTGAACTTGGATCAAGATTCCTCTCCCTTCACAGCTTCTTGGACCTTGTATGGAAAATTTAGCTGACATTTACCTATTAAATTAGCCTGTTAAGACATCCTACAAAGTATGGCAATAGTCTTGTTTGCTATTCCAATAAATACCAAGTATCGGCACAGTACAGGCTTTAATTCCTCCCTGGAACAAGTATTAGGCATATATGAGGAGTTATTAAAAAAAAATTGAATGGTTGAAATAATTGGGAGAAGTATATTTCTATTGTATATACTACCTAGCCATAGTTGTACAGTCTATCCATGTGTCTTGTCTACTTGGCCTCACAAGTAAGTCCCTGCATAGTCTATTTTGATGTGGCTGTCTACATATTAGAAAACTGTCTTATTGTGCACAGCTACTAAACTTGCCCGTAAGTGTACTGAACTTGTAACCTCAACATCAGTAGTATGTCACCCTTAACCAAGTGATAGAATCAGTGCCCTAATTCCTGAAAGAGTCTGGATTTATCCAAATCAGATTTTGCTCTTTATTGAGTTGTCATCTAACAGGTTTAGGAAATGATGCCACTCATGGCTCTGGAATGCAATTGAGAAAGAATCAGTGTGTTCTTTATCAGAAGCTGAATGTGTGTATTTTCTTAGAATGTATTGAGAATAATTGGCATCTTTTTGCTTTTCTCTTTATAATGTAGAGATTAAGTTCCTCTGTTAATTTTGGAGATGGTGAAACTGGCCTGGATCCATGACATCACTCTTTTTGTCCACGTTGAACTCTACAAACTTTAATTCTCTGCATTCCAGTAGCTAGATGAGT